ATATTGATCCCTTCCCTGGGCACCCAGCCCCTTCCCTGAACCCAGACCCCCTTCCCTGAACCCAGACCCCCTTCCCTGGCCCACCCCCAGCGCCCTCCCCTCTCCAACCCCTTTGCCCCAAAAGCAGGAGCTTCCCTTTGGAAGCTGCTCAGGCCCCAGAGGGCATTTGAAGGTGGCTCCTGTGCTGGAAACCATTTATTTGTGTTTATTTCCAGCAGGAAAAGAGAAATCTCAGAGAGCAGTGCCCGGTTCATGCCCAATGCCAACCCAATTCCTTGTGCCAGGGCACGGCCCCGTCCTGCCGGGGTTCCAGGGTGGGAAGATGGAGAGGGCAGTGCCAAGGTCACCCCACGGGGCTGTGGGGCTGGCACAGCCCCACGGACGGGGCTGCTCCGTCCTGCCCCACTCAGACTCGCAGCACAGCCAGCAGCTAAACCCCCCAAAAAACCCCAAAACGCTGAGATTTGGGTCTGTTCTGCAGCCAAACGCAGCCTCCTGCAGCGAGGAATGTTGATGGCTTTCATCTGGCCGTGCCCAAAATAACCTCAGCCGTGTGCCGAGCGTGGATTTTCTGTCAGGAGCCCCAGCAGGGATTTCTGAGCCCACCTTGGCCTGGGGAACTCAAAGCCCACCCCAATCCTGGGCAGGGCACGTCCAGGATCCCAGCGGGCTCCAGGGCAGCGTGGCACAGCCCAGGGTGGGCACCAGCACCCCTGGCACTGCCAAAAAACCCCCTCGGGTCCCCGTGGCAAGGACAAGAGGGGCAGCAGCAGCTCCAGCTCCGTCTCCGTGCCACCGGGGTGGCAGATGGTGCTGCCTTTGTGCCTCCCACTCTGCCAGGGCTTAATTACAGCCCAGAAATAGCTGCCTCCATCACTGACGGGCAGCTGCTGCTCCAGCACGCTGGGACAAGCAGGGAGAACAAAATCTGCTTTTTCCCCCTCTGTTCCCTTCAGGAAAAAAACCCCGTGAGTGGTGGCAGAGGTTTTTCAGAGAGGGGGTTCTGTCAGGCTTGGGCTTTATCTCACTGTGGGACAACGAGGGAGAACAAAATCAGCTTTTCCCCCCTTCCCTTCAGGAAAAAACCCCGTGAGTGGTGGCAGAGGTTTTTCAGACAGGGGGTTCTTTCAGGTTTGGGTTTTACCTCATTGTGGGACAAAATCAGCTTTTCGCCCCTTCCCTTCAGGAAAAACCCCACGAAGGGTGGCAGAGGTTTTCAGACAGGGGGTTCTGTCAGGTTTGAGTTTTACGCCATTGTGGGACAACAAAGGAGAACAAAATCAGCTTTTTTCCCCTCTTCCCTTCAGGAAAAACCCCACGAAGGGTGGCAGAGGTTTTCAGACAGGGGGTTCTGTCAGGTTTGGGTTTCACCTCCTCGTTGTGGGACAATAAAGGAGAACAAAATCAGCTTTTTCTCCCCTCTCTTCCCTTCAGGAAAAAACGCCCTGAGTGGTGGCAGAGGTTTTTCAGAGAGGGGGTTCTGTCAGGTTTGGGTTTTACACCATTGTGGGACAATGAAGGAGAACAAAATCAGCTTTTTCCCCCACTGTTCCCTCCAGGAAAAAACCCCATGAGTGGTGGCAGAGGTTTTTCAGACAGGGGGTTCTGTCACGTTGGGGTTTTACCCTGGTTTTCTCCAGCACCTGAGGGGTTCAGTGCTGCTGGGAGGGCTCTTCCCTGTCGGGAGGGTTTGTTACACAGAAAAATTCCAGATTTTCTGCCCTATCCCTGGAGGTGTCCAAGGCCAGGTTGGACACGGTTTGGAGCACGTGGGAGGTGTCCCTGCCCATGGGATGGGATTTAAGGTCCTTCCACCCCAGCCATTGCAGGACTCTGGTTTGCAGAGCCAATGCCTGTCACCCTGATTGTTAAGATTTTCTAAAACCTTCTGAGTTTACATTCTGTTGGAGAACTTCTCCACACAATTTCTATAAACTAAATATTGTTTTGCATTCTTTTATGGGGGTGGAGAAACTTGATGCACTGGTGGTTTGTCCAATGTCTTTGGAGAGGTGGCACCTTCACTCTCCAATCCACTGTCACCTTTGGGAAAGTATAAAAGTTGGAGTCAGAGAATAAACTTTCTTCTTTCCCTTGAAATAGCAGTGGCTCGTGTCGTGCTTTCACGTGTCCCATAGAGACAACGCCTGTGCATCCCTGGGCTTTCCCTGAGAACAATCCTATGGAAAAGGAGAATAGCTGGGTGTAACCCCAGCCATCCAACCCCTCCCTGCTCTGCCTCCACCCCATCAAAATGGGATTTCTCCCTCTTCCCTGAGCCTGTGAGGCCTCATTCCGATGGATCCAGCACCCAAAGCTTGGCTTGGCAGCGAAAGCTGCAGCCTGGAACGTGACTTTGGAGGGAAATCCTGATGGGAGCTTCCCCTCGCTCCCAGCCACGGGGAAATGGGGATTTCCTCAGGGAAAAGAAGTTCCACAGCTGGGGACAGGCAGAGCAGGAGGGTGGCTATTGGACATGTAGGTGAACCCAGTAGCACAAAGCCAAGGTGATTAAATCGAAGTGATTTAAACCCAGGATTTCAGCTCCTCAAGCTGTTTGTTCCTCATCCAGGTGTCAATGCAACATTTAAAACCAGTGTAAAATGTCAAATCAGCTGGGCACGGGTTGTGCCACGGGGCAGGGCTCGGTACAGCCGATGTCTGCCTATGCCCGGGGCCGGCCAGGAATGTCCCCAAGGTGACACTTTGTCCCCAGCCCCGTGGTTTTGATGGGACCAGAGCCAGCCCCTCGTGTTTCAGGGCAAGGAAAGGTTGCTGAGAGCAGGGACAGGAGAGAAGGAGCTCTGCAGTTTCCTGGGGATG